TCGGAACTAAAATTACAGTAGTACAAATACAAATACACGTAATCATAATCACTAATTTTGGTGACCATTTTTAAAATATATTAGCCAATCATAACGAACTTCACCTATGCTAATATGAATAAATGTATATAATCTATGTACTTATCTTCGGGTGAAACGAATAAGCTGTCATGCACACATGACACATGTGATAAAGTAAGATCGATCGGAGGTATAAACTTTTGATCAAACCGCGATCAATTATGCAATAGTTGGTGATACGAAATAGTTTATCAACGCAACATAAGCTTTAAGCATGAATAATAAGTCAGAAATATGTAATTAATTTAAGAGTTAAATATCTATGATCAAATTATGAGGTAATGGTTGAGTCAAGTCAGACATATTAAAGAGAAACGAAAGTAATAATAAAGGAAGTTCTTATTAACTTTTTATAAATAAATAAATACATAATATAAACTTTCCCTTGTAATTAAATAATCCCGGATCGCTTAAGGCGAAAGTTGTTAGTGGTCACTTCTGAGTTAGGTTTTTCTTTGACGAAAGTCATTGATTAACCCGTGACACTAGTGAAATGAGCTTCGGTGAAATAGGCTGTCAGTAAAATAAATTTGTTGATGAATAGTTGTTGGTTAAATGTGGTGTCTATGAAATGATTGTCGGTGAAATAATACAGACTTGTGGTTAAGTTAGGTTGTATTAGAGTTTCAATCATTTGTAAAATATAATATATAGCATTAAGCATAATAAATACACTCTACCCTCATTATAATGGACCTCTCAGGCTGGGAAATTCTGTCCATTATAGTAAAAATTTATTATTATATTATAACGGATTTACTAATACACATAGGATATAATCCGCTATAACAATGATGGTTTTTACTATTAAGATCGATCACTAAACTTAAAGGTTGTGTTAATTTGTATTAGGAAAAAATGCAATTCATTAAAAAAAAAATTCGAATAAAAAACTTACCGGCTATTGGAAAACATACAGTACGTGTTTAAGTTTGAAATCAATATCGTGAATTACTGTTACAAGGGGAACAGAAATATAAGTTTTCGCTTTGCTTAGTTACCCGAATAATAAATTCGAATAAGCTAATTAATCTCTAGAAGCACAAACGCGTAAATTCGAATCAGCTAATTAATCTCTAGACACGTGTATATACTCCTGCACTCCACATATCTACGGTTATACAATTTAAACAATTTATATAGATAATCTAAACGTTATCATTACACACAAATTTTTTTATTATATAGTTATAGATAAGTAATAAAATTCAATAAATTGTTACAGTGAAGATTTTATAAAGTTTTTTAATGTCTAATGAAATGGTAATCTAATAAAAATTCTTTAGTTAACTTCAAACTCGTATATCGTGTATTTATTACGTGGCATCAGAGATTGTTTGATATCCTCTCCGACTTATGATTCTATGTGTTAAAAAACAACCTGCTAATATTGTAATACCAAGAAAGATTCCTATGCTTAAACCATCGAAAAATCTATTTGGACATTTATCATCAATACTTTTCGTTGGATCTTCACCCTAAGTTAAAAAAATTTCGTAAGAAATTTTCTTAATTTAAAATTATGCGTATATGTTAACCAAAAAAATTTTACCGAATAGTCCATTAATACTTCATTGTAAGATAGACGAAAATTATAATAACGAAAATTTCTAATTTTTGAAAAGATAAAGCAATTATTTAAATCCTAAATCAATAAATTTGATTAATTAAACTCCCACTTTTACCTAATTTGTCCAGTAAATCCATCCCAGATGAAATAACTTCCAATGTATAATGGGCCATCATTAAATATGAAAAATTGACTTTGATTAGTGATATTGAAAGAACTGACCCATTTACTATCTATATAGAAATTCATTCGTTTTTGCGGTTCTGAAAGTGTGTATGCTATATGATACCATCGGTTAAGTAGGAGTTCATAATCATTCACAATAAATCTATTCTTGCCATATCCAGTAATTGAGACAGCTGGAATCGGTGTTGAGTTACTAGGTTTTAACCAGAGTGAGGGCGTAATATCTTTTTTCGTCCTACCTAAATATAAAAAAATTATCATATAACTGAAGAACTTTTTAATACTGTATGCAATTAATAGTTACATGTAAATACCTTTACAAAAAACAGTGTTCCATTTATAACTATGGCTTGAAACATATATTTCTAGCGTAATTGATAACTCATCTCTTACAACTGGTAACTCAGCATGGCTAATAACTCGATTGTATGTGGGTGCGAATATAACTGGTTCTGTTATTAATTCACGGTATGTTCTTTGTTCATGTTTCTGACGAAAAAATGGAATTGAAATAATAAAAATTATTATCAATAAACAATAGAAATAATAGTAATTCATTTTCATTTTATTACTATTAATTCTCGTAGGTAAATATATACAGTATATATATATTTGCAAAGAAATTGTGCGTATGAACTTTATTCTTGATAGTTATTTTTGTAATCTTTATAATTGTGCTGTATATACGTATATACTGTACATATGTACGCACGTACGGAGAAGGAAACAATCAATCTCTTTATAGAACAAAGATAAGCATGAATAGTTGTACAATACAATTTTATTATTGGCGTATTTTTTCTATGCAAAATGATTGAGATTGCAAAGTCTTTTGTGCTTTATTAAGGTGATAATCTAGGAAAATAAAGTAATTATTTTCGATGTGTTACCGTTACTTATTCATTTATATAGAGAAATTGAGTTTTTATATTTCCCACACCATATATACCAGATACAAACAGGAGGAAACGTTGAACGTCATAAAATTGTTACACAATTGATAAAATTTTTTTTAATATTATTTTACAATACTTTTTTGGATGGCTCGTTTGACTTATCTTTTCTATGAATATTGAAAATGATTAAACAAAC